ACACAGACACACACACACACTGGTTATGGTTGGGGTTGACCTTTATGGCATTTTGAAGGCTGGTAATGAGGTTTGAAGTTCAAGGTCTAAAAATGTGACCGTACTGCCCTAACCACAGATATTTCCAGTTATTCCACAACTTTTTGCTCTTTTCTTTGTTATTTTTTTTATCATCCTTGTTTTTTATTTTGAACAGGAACTTGTTTGAGTGGCTGTGTTTGTTTCGTCCACTTATTTATGATAAATAATAGCTTCTTATGTGCAGGTTTTCTTGATTTAATTCATTTTTTAACCTGCAATTACAGGACAAAAATAACATCATCTGAATATATTAAACCATTTTATTATTTTATGATTGTTGTTTTCATCTCATATTATTGTTATTCAATTTTATTTTTGTATTATTTTAAATTATTTTAATATAAATAAAGTTGTATATATCCATTTAAACTGCATTAGTTCGTTATTAGAATTATTATAATTGTCCTTTTGTGGTTTTCATACCACATTATATATTATTTTAGTCCTCTTTATCAATTCTGTTTTGTTTTTAATAAAGAAATTAGAAAAGAAAAGTGTTCTATAACCTTTTATTATTTATATTTTTATAGTCAGAAGTGGGAGTTATTATGCACATTTAATCAAAATTGTGGACAAATGTTAGATTTTTTCTTTTACTGGGACTTTTTGCTTTGAATTCAGTAGATTTATTAATTATTTTGAACCATATATTCACTATAACACCTCTAAATAAAAACACAGAACATTTTAAAGTAAAAACCAGATCACAAATCCTTTTTAACTTACAAAATGAGTTTTGGTTACTTAAAATTTTCTGATGTAATCTGTTTTAACAATGTATTGTTTATTTCTATTCAATGCTTTAATAATTAGCCACAATAATACGTTTTTTGTGTGTAAAGATGTTAAAACATCTTAATTTGGGGGCTTTTACAGGATAATATTACCCTTTGGCCACCCCATAGCTCCGCCCCTGCTCCCAGGTCTAATTAATGCTTTCTTTCTTTCACAATAACCCACATTTTTAACACAATTTAGGCTCTTTTGTTAATCAAAGGATGTATTCTTAGTTGTAATAAGGACAAAAGGAGCAAAGAGCCAGAAAGAAAGACAGAAATCTCTCTTTTTCTGTGGGTGTTGAGCAGTTGTTGATGGTCTCTGTTTCCTCCCAGCACACCAGTCTCTGCGCTGCTGACGGAACTTCCCGAGCAGAGCCGAACGGAGCCGAGCGCAACAGAGCTGAACACCTACAAACGGACGAACAGCGGGGGGGTTTTATCCAGATCTTCCACCGATTATTCTGCAGCTAAACACCGATAAACAGCGCAGGGATGACGGCTCTCAGCAGCTGGGAGTTGTGCGTCAAATACGCACTCTTTATCTTTAATTTCGTCTTCTGGGTAAGTTACAATAAATCCAAATTCTTAATAACTTTATTGTCAGAATGAGGTTAATTAACTAGTTCCTGTCTATTTGAGCATTTCATTACAGCCACTGGGGTATGAGGGTGGTTTTTGTTTCTAAAGTTGACATTTGTATGATATTTGTGCAGTTTTATTTTATTCTGTAACAAACAGACATTAATGGATGTTACCTGATAATAAATCCACCCAAGCAGCAGAATATATAAACAGAAGAGAGACATAAAAACACACACAAACAAATAATGAAATCTGAATCTAACTTAAATATTTGTGCAGTTTTATGCATTTAATCCGAACTGCAGAGCACCAGTGGCGGATAGAGAAATATTCATGGGGTGGCTGATTGATCAATATTTGTTCGGAAATAGCCCCCAAATGAAAATATTTGAACTCAGGATGCAAAGAAATGTTAAAGTTTGCACCAATCGGGACAAAAATCATCT